TGGGTAGCGAAAAGTTGACATGAAATGGGCTTTGACAGATGCACGATTTTTTGTTCAAACGATCGTGTAACATCTGAAGAATAAAATTGAAATGCCCTGAAATAAAGTAAAATTTTGAACCTTGAAATGAATGAACGCTCTCTTTCTTTATTTCTTGTGGGTGCAGTACATCAACAGTCATTCCATTTACTTCAGTTTTACTTCAGTTCAGTTTTACTTCAGTTTCAGTTTTACTTCAGTTTACTCTAGTGCCAATAATTTCCCCATTTATGAAAATTTAGATGTGCTGTCAATTAGTTCAAGAAAGTAAAGTAAACTCGTTCTTCTGACGATCAAGATGGGTTTGGTTGGTGCCTATGCACATGTGTATGTTAGTAGACTATAGTTTTCGCTTCAGGTCTCGGTCACCTGATCCATTTATTTCTTTGTTTCAGCAGCAAACGGAACACTACTGAAACCCAATCTCTATTGAATTTGGTAAAATAAATAAATAAAGTTGGGCACATACGTACGTATGTCTATCCGCCCATTATTTCCAGCTGCTCCCCGCAGTCAAGAAAATTCGTTTTCTCACTTTATTCGATTTTATCTCGTGTTCTTTCTTGGGTCTATATGTATGTAGAGCTCAAGTTTTATACCCACGTATGTGAGTTCAATGCTTGAAGGTAATGGAAATAAAGTCAAAAACTTTGTGTTAGTAAATGTGTGGGATTTGAAAATAAGTTTTGGTTTGAATTGAATGAAATTGGAAATTTCATTGTCTGTAAGAATAATGCCAGGAGCGACATGCATTGATATCTGCAAATATCAAGTGAAAATAGGTAGGCACATACATGTATACAGGATCTGTAGGTGTTTTGGTAGGAGAATTTATATCAATGAAAAAGTTTCCTTTTGGTAACACATGAAATTGAAATAGATTCACGGCTGTGTTGAAAACAAGTGAAAAAATAAACTGTGGCGTCATTCGTTCCAATTTCATTCATAACAATTTCATGTGAAGCTAAATTGGCGACAACAACTTTCTGTCGCTGTACATACTTGTTGTGCCGTGCTGGTGAGTCAAATCGAGTAACAAGAAGTAATGATGACGTAGAAATTCAAAACTCCTCTCTCTGTATTGCCCACTATTATTGTACGTATGCCGCACTTGGACTGCTCAAGGCAATGATGATGACACTAGTTTAATCGTGCGGAATCTCGGAAATTTGCGTGGGTTTTTTCGAATACAAATATGGCATCCAACTCACAACAACATGCCCTTGTTTTGATTGCATAATGTGTTATGCGAGATGTTGAAAAATAAACTGGAATCAAATTGAAAATTTATTCAAAGAGCTGGAATAAATCCGATTTTTACCTGTCATTATTCGTATTCCACGTGTGTGTATATCGGTTGCAAACAACGTATTTCATTTTTGGTGTCGTTGCGGGGCATATCTTGATCTTGTTTTTTTCGGTTTATAGATGAGAAGGGCATATCCGAACATGTTTTGTTTGACAAAAGACGAAGAGAAACTGAGCTATTTTTGTACCCGATTTGTTTTTCTTCAAAGCATTGCATTGAATTTGATGTAGGATATCTGTGGTCTAGTGGTTGGAGCTCACAAACTGTGCATGTATATTCTAGCTGGAAGTTTATTATATATCAGATTATCTTCTTAAAAGCTGGACATGTGTTTGCGTGGGTGGGAAGGAGTATGTTTGCTGGCCAATGGGCATTCTTAATGTCCATATGATATCTTCTTTAAATATGCACCCGTGCCTCTATTCAATTCAGCAGTATGTTCATTCAGTGTAAAGCATGATTGCGTGGGCTTGTGGAGGAGGAGGAGAGGTAAATAAATAGCTTGGCTGCTTTCTCCGAAGTCGAGTAATATGCTTTTCCTCCGAGATCTCACCCCCTCGCCTTTTCTTTATTTTCTTTACCCGGTAAAAATCATACGAATGCGGGCTTAACTAAATTATTAAGACGAATCTTTGTATGCTTAATAAATTTATTTTACACAAGATAACTATTTCACTTATCATGTCATATCTGAACGTGTTATCACAAATGAACTAACCAAAGAAATACGTACATATAACATTCCACGAGGGCAAAGAAACGAAACGCTGCATATGTGAAATTAGAATATTAGAATGTTAGATTTCTTACTCCTATTTGTATGTATGCATAAGAAACTTATGCACTGCTGTGCACAAATTATATAGGCGATGTGTGCCGTCCTTGGAGAGAATGGAGAATGGGGAAAGTGTTAGCGTAAAACTGGGAAGGAGAGGATTTTTAGGTGAAGCAGGAACCACTTTGTTTTATCGCCTCACTTTCCCCTTGGAAAATGATCTGGTTGGTTGGAGGGTTGGAAAGAGCTTCAACAAAGCAATCTGGGAATGTAAATGAAGAATGTGATGAGTGTGCATGTTGAAAATATTTTATTTTGTATAATAAGATAATAGGTAACACTATTATCGGTGGCCTTGTGGTTGTATGTAGTTGCAGTTCATTGTTGGTTTCAGTACTCTGAAGAAAGTGCACATTTTAAGAAAATATTGGCCTGCAATTTCAAACTTGCAATATTTCGCATTCGTCATCACTATAACTTTGAGAAAGTATCATTGGAAATAATAGGTGCACTTGATGTGAGGCCTTTCTCGTGAAGAAAGACATTATTTCCTGGCTTTTTCTGCAAAACCCTAGTCCTTGGTTGGCCGAAATGAAGAAGGAAAGTGAGAAATGCATACTCTGCAGGAAATTTCATGTTTGCCCTTTCATCCGATCCTCAAAGGTTGAAAGTATGGTAGATTGGATTGCATAGAGCAACACACAAGTTAAAATGATATTGCTTTCCAAGGAAGTGATGGAGAATTTGTTGCGTCGTAATTTTTGCTAACTAGCATTTTTTTTATCTTTCCATATCCAAACGATTTAAATTAACGCTGGGTATTTGTTCATTTTCGCAATGCCCTTAAGTACGAAGTATTCTAAACATGAACTGTCGACGTCACTCAGGTTAATAATACGAACGTTAGCATTTCAGGATGTGTTTACCTGGTACAAAGCAGGTTTAATCATATTGTACAAACAATTACTGAGACATGGTGTTGTTAGTTGTTGTCTTGTTGACTTTTAATCTAATTTAAACCAAGCTGTAATTAAAGCTTCAAATCTTCTAAGTATTTCGAGAGAACTAGAAGAATGAAGATACTGCTGGATAGTTTGACTACTTTAGTATTTATGCCGTTCTGTGTTAATAGTTGTTTTATTTTTCTGCTAATGTCATGTGAAAGAACCTTTCTCCGTTTCAATTTTCGTGTGGATTCCAATGCTCCGCTTTCGTCACAATCTTAATAATGACTCACAACTCCACCCAAAAAGCTATTGTTGTACACACAGAGATTGTCCTCCTAAATATATACGCATATCATGTGGTGAAATAAATCTCCTTCCGCGTCCAAAAAATATCCTAAATATCTGTGTCTGGTTTTGGAGATGAATCACATCAGAGTGAGACATGACTTCTACATTTGCGAAATTAAATTGCAATGCTGAGAATTTGTCTGCTTTGTCTCGTTTGCAGTGGTAATTCTGAAAGGACCGAATTTGTATTTGCCCACTTTGCCCCACATTTCTGTGAAATCATTAGTTGTTATTATTGTATCTATTGAAGTACATACGTACTATCCTCATCATCCTGCAGGGTCATGGTGCAATGCTCACTCCATCGCCTCTAGTATGCATCTGAGGCACAGAAGCAGCGTGTATACATAATGACCTGATGGATTAAACGTAAATAGATTGCATCTGGTTTGTCCTTCTGCCAATAAAATTCAGTAAACTGGTTAATGTATGCGGGTGAAAGTAAAGTGAGGGCAACGGACATATGACCATCCCATAATCTCAAAACATAAGGATTCATGATGAGTAACAGAGAACGAAAAAGAATGAACAACAAACGTCCAAGTCCAGTGTCAGTCCTAGTTCACTAGGAACTCCTGCCATAAAAACTATCTTCATGTTCATGTTGTATTGGTCCTGTTTGATAAGTCCTGCTTAAGTCGCTTCTACTTCAGCATCACGTTGCTCACTCCTCCACTTGTTATTGTTCTTTTGCAGGGTGAAACTCCCCAATTCTGTTTTATTCGACGGATAGGCTATTGTCTGAGGCGTATATATAGTTGTAGTACGGACAGCAAATTCAGGACCTCCTCACCGAAAACGTCTGAGTTTGACAGGCTTTCTCCGCGTGAAACTGAAATGAAACGGCTTTCCCAAATTCCCTTCATTTTACTGGTTTACTGCCTGATTTCTCTTCAAATGTCAGCAGCGTGCTGGTTGCGGATAGCAGTTTGAGGTTCTACTCAATTCTCTTGTTCAACCCCATGTTTATACTGCATGTAATTTGGTGTTCCTTGTTTTCGACGTAGACCTCTTATTAAATTTTTGTTGGGGTTTGTTGGTGAAAATTGAAAAAGTTAGATATCCAAATAGATTGGATTTAGCAAGGATGTATATACGTATTATATCTGTTCATGTGTACGTATAGTGTACACTACAGCAGGGACGATGCCGTAGAGTAGAAGTTAGTTTTTCTCCTTTTTCTGATGGCATCAAGAATCAAGTACAACTATTTGATAGAAATTTGGAAGATAGTAGCAGCCCGTCGTGATGGTCATAAAATTGCATGAATTATTCATGCGAATAAATGATCCGGAACCACAAACGAATCTCTCTCTTCTTCTTCTTCTTTCTTCCTACCACACCAAGGATGTAGGTGAAAGGAGGAAGAGGAAGCATGGCGCGATGTGATCTGATGATCATCGTCATCATTGTATATTTAGCAGCATCATGTCACAATACAACGTACGTACGAACAATATTAAAGTCAGGAACGAAATAAACATGATAATGACGACGACAACAACAACGACGACGACCCTGTTACGTGATACAATATGACGAAAGAGTACAGTCAAGTAATTCAGTTTGTTTCTCCTTTCAGTGATGTAGATCTCGATAATCAGCGTCAGCTTTCCGACGCCAACAATTCTGGGTCTTCCTCCAATTCCAGTTTATCTTTATTAAGGTACTTTAAAATTTCTCCACGTTGCGTAATCTTTCCAACAAAATAGGCCTTAATTTATTATGTATGCTTACAATAATATTGAGCGAAATACTGTAGTAATTTGGTCAATGTTGTGAATTCATGTAGAAGTCTTGAGAGTCCCAGCACCTCCCTCGAGCTGGTAGCTCCATCAAACAACTCTTCATCTTCACTTCGGGAAAGAAGTTCTGGTGAGTTTTGTCAAGAAATAAGTAGTAGCCTTATGATTAAACTGGATTGTTATTTAGCACCTGCTGACCACAGACCAATTTAAATTAATCGATCTTATCTCATTGCAGAAACCCCAGAGACTACCGTTGGGAATTCCTCTGAACCATTTAAACCGTCGCCTGGGTGGGATGGAGATTCGGACATTGAAATTGACCAGGACCCTCCAGATTGGACAAAAAATGTACCCGAAGAAACACTTTCCTCGTGCGTATAAAACAATTTTATTACAATTAAATATCTTGTTAAATGTGCTATCTAACCAAGTCCATGAAACTCATTGCCATTGTGTGTTTGGTGTACTATTATCATTCATTATTTGTCTTTCGATAGATTGGATCGGTTGGAGAAAAATCGACAAGAAGTTCTCAATGGTAAAATGATAATATGTTAATATTGAAATGTTTTGCTCTTAATATTTATACTTATTTATTTATCTCTGTTTAGAACTATTCCACACTGAAAGATCCCACGTACGCAATCTGAAAGTAGTCGACCGACTTTTCCACCGTCCCATCAGACAACAACAACTTCTCCCGGAGAACTTAATTCAAATGTTATTTGGTTAGTAAATAGTAACTTCTTTATCTCATGACTAAATATATTAAACTGTATAATCTATTTGGAAGACGAGTATAATGAATATCAGCAAAGAATCATTTTCTGTATTCAGATAATTGTACTGCACCCGGAGTATTTTATTTACAGAATTCTCATACATTTTTCATAAAAATGTTTATATACTTTCAGCTAATTTGGATGAAATGCTTGAAATTCATGGCCGCTTCAACTCTGCTCTTAAAAAGTTGAGAATGGAAGCTCCCTTAATCGGTGATATTGGTCCTGTGCTCCTTGAGATGGTAAGGTTTCCTAAGGTTTCTTTAACATGACAAGTATAGTGCACGCAGGGAATCACGCCAGAAAAATAGGCATCCATGCCTAAAAATGAGTTTGTTTTGCGGTATGTATGACCTTTTCAGTGTGATTTCCTGTGGGTACAAGTAATGTACTACTTAGCTTATGTATATTAACTTATTTCTTCATTATTGTATATTTTATAAACATTTATGTTTATTTACAGTTTGACGGTGAAAGTGGGGATAACTTTAAACGGGCTGCTGCCACTTTTTGTGCCAAGCAACAAATTGGTTTAGAGAACCTGAGAGATAAGCGAAGAAAAGATGCAAGATTCAATTCATTTCTCACCGAGTCCGAGTTAGATTCGGTGTGCCGGCGTTTGGGAATTAAAGACATGATTCCAATGGCAATGCAGCGACTCACAAAGTATGACAATTGTTAACCTTTTTATATAAATAATAATTACAACTACGTACATATTTATATATGTTCTTAAGGTGTAGTCTTACTAATAACATAAATTTTCAGATATCCCCTTCTATTCGAAAACTTGTGCAATTGCACAGCATCAGATTCTGAAGAGTACAAACACATTCAACGAGCTGTGGAACTAAGTAAAGATATTCTTACGCACGTCAACAGCGCCAAGAAGGAAGCGGAAGATCAAGAAAGACTGATTGAAATTCAGGTACATGATCACATAATCCTATTAAAGCCATCATAGTACATACATAATAATAACAATATTATTCATAAAAGTACATATTGACAACTTAACAAATAATTATATTTACCTTACTTACAGAGAAAGTTGGACAAACCTTCTTTTGAAAAGGGTATTGACAAAACAGATCCTTCCATCAGTGAAATTCGGGTAAGACGATTTTGAACTATTATTTAAACAGACTTGACTTATTATTTAACCTAACTCTAGAATCTGGATTTCACCAAACATCGGCTAATCTACGAAGGTAAGGGTGTTCCACGTTAACTCAAAGCAATATTTCCTTTAAAGCTTTCAATTCATTTAAAATAATTCTTTCAAATTTTGTTTTATAATCTTATTATTATCAAAACTAAGTTATGTCTTTTAATACCTATCAACCAATATTCTCCACAGGACCTTTGATGTGGCGAATGACCAAGTCTACCAGACAAAAGTCAGATTTACAAGAGGTGCAAGCTGTCCTTTTAGGTACGTGTTATGCGAGTTATATACTTCGTATTCATAAAGATTTCCATATGAATATGCGCTGATGTACTTGTATGTATCGCCTTTCTCAGATTCCTTGATTGTGATCCTGTTAAAGCAAGACGATCGATATGTTCTCAAAATACATAATATATTTCCTGGCAAATCGGACAGGATGATGGCGAAGCCTATTATCAAGCTAAATAATTTGCATCATCGCCCTGTCGCCACAGGTAAATATTCAACACTTAATATGTTCTTATAACTACTACTACGTAGATGTGTGCGTTTGATTTTAATTTGATAATTATTCATTTTCAGATAAACGGGCTTTTTTCCTCATTTCCACTACATCTTCAAATATGTATGAACTGGTATGTTCTACAGCTGAAGAACGCAACGTGTAAGTTTTCCGTCTTTAGTCTTATTTGTTATTTTTCTGGAAATTATTGAGACGATAGCTATGCTGATCTCACCAAATAATGCATAGATTCATCTGGTTACTCGTCATAAGAAAATTAAGTAGACTTTGATTGACGTCAATAGGTCTTTGTCTCTTCAATTTTTACTTGACACGTTTTGGAGACAAGTTGGCTCTATGTACATATTTCTCACCTACACTTCTGTATACATATATTCATGCTCCCAACAGTTCTCAACTCAATATTTTACATATAGCCATTCTCATGCATGCGCTTTGATTCGAACCTATGTTTAATACCTATGTGGTTCATCCCATGCAAAATATAAGAAAATATATTTGAAGCCAAACTGTAATTCATAATATGCTTGATCACGCTGCCAATAAAAGTACGAGTTTCAGTCAACCCTGTCTGAGCTATTATTATTTTGTGGCAGTGTGTGGTCTATAATAAGTACACCGTTTGACTAATTACAACTTTGAGAACTCTCCTTCTTGTCCAAAAAATGATGATGAGCTCTTCTCTTTTAAAGGCCACCGAAATCGAGAGAGAGGAGAAAATGACTCATCCTCTGTTTACGTTTCTCCAATGGTTTTTAACCAGTGATCAGGCTTACCTTGCGTGATTAGCGAATGATGTATGATGATGAGGCAAGCAAGTTTCAATATTTTTAAATATTTCTGGAAATGCCAAACAGTGTTTAAATGCATCATTTCAAGTGCCGAGACAAAACTCGAAATTGTTCTTAATTGTTGTAAGTGTACATAATTCTTTAAGATCTATAGTTTTTACCCTTTTGGTTTGATGATGATGAATATTGAAATAAGTATTGAAGTTATCATATATAACGTCTGGCTGTTGGTTGGGAATTCCCGTTGACATATAATCCTTCCTTATTAGCGTATTCATGCTTTACTTGTGCTGAAAAAACGGATTGCACATTGATGCATGAACTCACTGTTCGTACGCTAAGAAACTACAGTAAAACTCTTACAGTTGGGGAACCAGAAGCATTCTAATTATATCTCCCAAATGCACAGTTGTTGTTACTTTAAGGTTTGTAGTGTAAAATGCATAGCTAATGTGGCTTGCCTGGTCCTGTCAAAAGACTGGTTTCCGTTTCGACCCAAGAAAAGCCCAAGCAGACGCTGAGTAAATCAAATAAATTGATTTTGGCATTTAAATGAGAAAGAGATCTGAAATATTGTGTGACAAAATATGTAACGTTCAGGATTTTTTTGCAAGTTTGGTCGCCTCCTGAATCTCGCAAAGGTTGGGAAATACTGACCTCACTACAACAACAACCCATGTATAAGCTATAGGCAAAGTGCATACAAACTTGGTGGATGACACCATCAACGTGTATTTTGGCAAAGTAACATATTGAAATCCTCTCCCGTCTCGGATTTTTAGTTGAGTTTAGTTTTACCTCCCGAGTATAAATGTTTAAAAAGTCAGTGTGTGGAGAAAAATGAAGTCTACTTGCTTCTTGGCTTATCATGTTCTGTTCTTTTTTTGACTCGTCATCGTCCTTTTTCTTTAGTATTTTCTAGTGTAGCGTGCGCTGTAAACTTCTGACAAATCTTGTTGGCAAATTCTGCATATGTAGCTCTTCCGCCACTCTCAGAGAATGAAATTCCTCAAGAGTTTCAACTCCACATTTTTCAGACAAAGAGAATAGGTAGACACCCAGGAGCAGGATAACTACTGCTACTGACGTGAGATATTTATAAGTAGTGTGAGACATGCCTAATTGCACGCTATTAAATTATTGCAACAAGTAAAGTTTGACAGTTATTCGTCATCAGATCAGATTGGTGGTGTGGAGAAAGTGGTCTAGTTTTTTTTCAAATTTTGAACCTTACAAGAATTGGATTCCTAATGAGAATGGCAGGGAATAATAATCACAACCCTTTAAAAAATGTCTTTAACGGTGTTCAGAACCAAGCATCCAGGTATTATCTATCATCCTCTGTCCTCGTAGAAGTTCTACGGTAAAACCGTGAAACATTTTAATGTGATTTAGAACTCGTACATATGCGATGAATCAATTTATATACAATTGTAGTATAATTACTTTAGGTTTAATTTATACTGGTTTTATTTGTATGTTATGCTTAACATTTGATTTTTTGGAATATTTCCAGATGGTTTCACCATATTACGAAGGCAGCGGACGATTATAAGAACCGACAGGAGACAAGGCGGTCGGAGAATTTGCAGAATTCAAATTCAAACAGTATCAGCAGTACCACAGCCGCTACCAACATTCCATCCTCTTTAGCATCATCTGACGTACAAGGAAAAGAGTAAGCATTATTTCAAAAGTTATTGTTCTTCTTTATCCCTGCTGGCGTGGGAGTCTGGTTCAAGATGTTTGCATAAGGTCTCATGATGTTACACATCATGAGACCTTACGTCGTCGTCGTTCGTTAATACAACACAAATCTTGCATGCTCTTCGTAAAAATAGTAAAATACTTTTAATTTTCATCAGGGTGAATGTTTGCAAATAAATCTAAACTAATCCCCAAAGTAGATAGTATTAGGTGAAGCAAAAGATAGTGTAATTAAGAAGATATAAGTATTTTGTCCCTGTGAATTATATTGCGTCTTTATCGATGCGCCATATGGTTCACGACCTAAAATTGAACTTCAGGATACTGATTCTGACGCGAAATGACCGGATCATGTCGATTTGTTGTATCATCATAACTTCACCTAAGAATAAACGTTGTAGAGAGTTTTAGAGCTGTGATTCAGAACTTTCATAAATATCTGTAAAGCTTAATCTATTCGTACATTTATGCAAAACATGTGTGGGTGGGCGTTAAAAGTTGATCCAATCTCTGGTGGGTAAACATTTCTTTGTGCAGATTTGGTTTCTTTGAGAGCTCAAAATTTGCCGAAATCCGAAATTCATTCCCAGATTCCCTTGTACTTTTACCTCCCTTCGGTATTGCACGTAGCTTGGGCATACTTATATAACAGATTGGACTATTTATTAGGGTTGCCGCGGGTAACGGGTCGGGTACCCGTTACCCGCATACCCGCACGATTCTTGCGGGTACCCGTTATCTGCGGGTAGCGAGGACTACCCGCACGGGTAACGGGTAGTTTAGTTTTTTATTTAATTTTCAACGTAAATCAGTTCACAAAGAAAGTTAGCAGCAAGTTAGTCCATTTACGCACAAAAGCGTCAATTTATTATTTTTCCATTTCAAAATTTGTCATTTGCCAGCAACAAGCGTTTATAACCAGCGTATCTTTAAGGAAACCACAGAAGCCTATGCCGGCCTCAAATACTTTTCACGTTCAGAAAATGCGGAATAATTACATATTGTTTCTCAAGCATAGTTTGCCTGCTCTAAGATATCAGTAATAATGTGACCTGTATTTGTGTGTATTTGTTTATGTAAGACTGCCGAGGTTTTAATTTGTTCTTTGAGGATGAAAAACTTGAATCCGATTGAAAGCAAAAAATGTATTTGTAGACAATTTTTTGAATGAAAACTTCAGTTAAATCAAAATTTGAAAAAATCCAACAAAAAATTGAACCTTTTTCAAGCTAAACCAAAATTGCACAGCGAGTATATTTTTATCAAAAACTCAAGCCAAAAATTAGGAATCACGTGATACTTATCTTTCCTTTAAATGGCCTCTTCGAAGAATAACATTGGCTGTAAAGTTTAATTTTTAAGGAAATGTTCTGTATCGTTTTCCTGCAATGGACAAAAACCATGGTGGACTTTGAACTCTGCCCCCGCAATAGTTTCCTTTAAACTGTTCATTCAATGGACAAATTAGTGCAATGTAATTCCTATTTGTTGGTTTAATTTTTTGATATGCATAAATCGCTAAGAAATACCAACATAACTTGAAAAACGATCCAATTGTAAGCCAAAAGGCATGCGTTACTTGCATAGCACTATCTCAAAGTACATATCAACTCAAATGAACAAATAATTGATCAAATCCAACTTATTCTCAAGCGTGGCTAGTTTTTAACCTAATTCTCATAACGGGTAGCGGGTAACGGGTACCCGTGCGGGTACGGGTAGTTGTGCTGCGGGTAACGGGTAGCATTTTCGCTACCCGCGGCAACCCTACTATTTATTCCTCATTTTTTGAAGGAAGTACATTCATAAACCTCCTCTTATTTAGAGTAGAGTCAAGGTGGGATGAGTGTAAATGGAAATGTAGTAAAAAAATCCTTGTATTTTTTAAATTTTAGTGTGGGAGCAGATGGGGACGGTGAAAAAGATTCATCCGGGCAATTGTTTCCTCCGATGGCGACACCAAGCGTTTCTAAAGAACCAAGCCCTGCACCAGAGTCTACATGTTCTGATCCTATTCAGAGTCCAGGTTCTCCCGAAAAATCAGGTACGATTTAACTAAAATTTATTTAAATAGTTTTGTGGGCAAGGTTCTTTGAATTCTTGAATCCCCTTTGGTTGGTATGTGGTGCTATCTAATATTGCTACACACTTCTGCCAATCAAATACGCTTGGGGCTTACCAAACGATTTGGAATTTACCCCGAAATTTCCAGCCTTAACGTGTACAAAAATAGCATTTGACTGATTGCGATGGGATTGCTTGTACAGGTGATGGGAGTGGTCGTCTACAAGTTCAAGGGACAAAAGTGAGCCGTTCCGCAAGTATGGGTGGTCGGCCAAAAGAAGGCGAATTCTTACAAATAACGCAGAGTTCGCCACTTGTTGATCCCTCCGAAGTTGTCGTAACATCTCGTGACATTCAATTCGCACAAGCCGTTCTTTCGCCTCATGGTACTTTTGCATCACTTATTCAACACTCTCTAATATATAAATATTTTTTATCCATATTTTGTGGGGTTTCAGTTTTTCACTTTGCTTTTCTTCTTTTCTTTGATTCGAGGGGGGTGGTTATGCAGTTAGATTTTTTATCCAGCTTAAACATTTTCTTCAATTTCTTATGGATATCCCTTCCGGTTTAATTTTTTCAAATTGTCCAGGTTAAGTTATTATTAAATTGTGAAAATGAAAATTTATTGTAGAGGAACTAAGACGCGCAGATTTGCAAGTGCAGAAGGCTTTAGAAGAAAAGCTGCGAATTGCCAGTAAACTATTTCACATTCCTCCCACGCCCACCCTCGACGACTCGTCGGTAAATATTCTGTGCGACTCGAAAGATGCCAAGGAAGTTATAGTCAAATGTATAAATAATGGTGAGTTTAGTTGAGGTTCAATATTTTTTTAAATATAATAATATTAATAATGGATACCTATTTTAAAACCTAAAAAATCTAAATATTTTTTTTTCTATGCCTTCACAGTTGACAGGCTAATAGGAATAGTTAGTAATCAAAAGTCCACAAAAGAGTATTCAGAATCAAATCGGGAGCAGCAGATTATTCATGCAAATCTCAACAAAATGTTGACGCACATATTAGTAAGTGACGATGTACATATATATCGTATTGATTTTTTTCTGGTTAAATGATTACTATATTTATGAATAACTTTTATCTATTTTATAGAGCGAATTTGAAAGGAAAGAAGAAGAATTAGAACTACGAAGACAGGTAAACTAGAATCTACATATGTAATTAATAAATTGCAATAATATTACAGTCATGTTGTAACCAATGTTGTATTGTGTGAATAGGAATTGCACAGAGTCCGTGAGCAGAACCATGGGTATCAAGATCGTCTCCAAAATTTGAGTGTTTCATCCGTCGCTAGTCCGTCACATTCCCGTCCGTCCAGTTTAATTACTGACCATCATTCGCATGACGAAGGTAAATTTAATTATTTTAAATGCAATTTTTCAAAGTTTGGAGAGTGCCCGAGGAGTTTTCACTGCTATTGATTTTTTATTGTATATGTAATGTGTGACATGTTTTTACTCGTTTTACCCTTTGACTTTTAATGCATTTACAAACTATTGTGATGTGATTCTCTATATGGATTGTATAATGAGTACAGAAGAGTAAGTAAATATGTTTGCAGTGTGAGTTTTTTTGTGTTATTGATTTGATAGGTTGATTTTTAAGTTACAGATTTATAGACTAGATTAAAACATTCCATAGTTAGTAAACCATGCATGCGCATCCATATATAAATATAGATTTTCCTTTGTTCCCTTGCTTTCTGCATGATGATTTAATGATAGTTCACTGTTTTTGTAAATGCATTAGCTTAGCAAGTGATGGAATCCAATTTATTACATTGATTCCAATAAGTGTTTAATCGTTTGTGTTTTGTGCTATGTTATCAGAGGATGCGAAGACAGTTCCCTTTCCCTCGAAGCCGCTATCTTCAGATCTTGTAGCTACCTCCAATTCTGAAGAGGAAAGTGGTGCAACATTAATATGTAACCCTACTCTGCAGTCTTGTGACTCGGCACAAAATGTGAGTTTGGTTTAATGCATGATGTGTTTAACATAAGTAACAATTTTTATAGAGTTGATGTAATTAATTACGTCAATTGTCAAATATATATGTAGATACATACTTCAACTTGTATTGATTTTCAATGATTCATGGTTTATCTATCCCTGCAGTTTGCTGACGCTACAAGCAGCGAGTCGAGGTTGTTAAAACGAGACTCGGACGCTGAAGGAGGTGAAGTCGAAAAGAATCGAGATTGTCCAGAGACAGAAGTTTTAATTGTGACTACCGCTGCTGAACCACAGCTTGAAGCTTATCAGGACGATTCGTCCTCCAGTAGTAGCAAACCTGCAGTTACCGTACCTGACGATAAACCTCTACAGCAACAGCAAGAAAATGAAGATGAAAAATCGAATGGCGATCTACTACTAGTGACGACAAATGGGCACAATGGCGAAAGCACAAGCGATAGTGATCAAGCCGAGGTTAAATCTGCTATTTCATCAAAAAAATCTGACTGCAACGTGCTTCCCGAAAATGATTCTTCTACAGATTTGCAAGGAGAAGCAAAAGAAACCGCCTGAAAACTTTTGCTGAGGTTTTAGTAGCTTATGCCCATTACTCACTGAACCCAATTATAAAACTGATCCATTTTCTCAGTGGTAAAAATAGATCAGTATCAGTATTGAATTTATTAGTATACAAACAAACAAAATAGTAGCCAACAAACAGTCAGGTGTAAATTTTGTCACTCACCTGCTGTGTTTCTCCACTTGCGAGCTTTTAGTGAAAAAATCTTACGACTATGTAGATACATAAATATGTACGACTTATGAACTTGGGACTCTCTTCTGGGTCTTATTTGCTGTATAACAATCCAACCAATATCAGATCGCACTAATTATTGACCATGATCTTAGAAAATTAACACACGTGTACACGTACGTTGTACAACTTGTACTTGTACAATTAATTGACTGTTCGTCCGTTCCAAACTAGAAGAGATTTTTGGCGACTTTCTACGCTCCCTATCAAAATGTGTTGTTTTTGTCCGTGACATCCCTACGTACATATATACTCTGTGTGTACAACCTTGTGAAGAGGCAACCGCTTTAACGCATATATAAACTAGTATATTTAAATATGTAAGTATTCTAATAAAATATACCGAAATATACCTCTATTACTTCCTTTTCCCTAATCGTAATATTTGTACTTATATTTAAGTTAACTATTTACTTTAGTGCTGAAATTAAAGTGATGAATTTTTGCATGAAATATGAGATTATATTGTACTCGAGGTGAATACCGTACACATTAGACACACACCCACAAGATATAATTTTGTTTGTTGAACTCGCAGAATCAAGTGTAATAATTTAATATAAATAAATAAATGTGTAACGCTATTCATGGATGATGTAGAATTTATTTACGAAATGAATAAAGCAAAGTATTGAAATTACATGTAATATGTTACAGTCTTTCTTGCATACATTTATCTAAACTTAAAAATTTATTTCCTGCACCTTAAATATTATTGTTCACTGGATGGATTCTGGTTCTTCCACATAGAAAGGTCCACGCGTGGTATCACAACCTGGTCGAAACAATCCACGAGTTGGTTGAAACTCGAAGGTTTTTGAAATGCCAAAGGTTGAATTTCATGGATATCTTTACTATTGTCACAGTAAACTCGAGCTGCACTAGCCCTCCTTACTTGTTGAAGTTGGTCTGGAACGTTATATAAAATTTGACAGTTATATGTATTATTAGGTATACTTATGTACATATGAATTGTTAGCAAATTAAAAAATACATATAAACATGTAAATATTTAACCTGTTGATAATGAGTTGGACAATTGTCCATGTGTATAATGGAACCTGTCCCCAAACTTTGCTCTAGAAAACTGGTCTCCAATAATGCATGCGAATGTTGGGCCAACGATTCCACCCGGCGTAGCCTCCTCCATTAGCCCTCCGATGAATAAATCCACATCGTCAAAGTGGTCGTACACTTCCTGAAGCTGCCTCACCTTCTCAAGGCTAATGGACAGGGCTTGAAAGTCCTTGAAACTAAAGATGGGTGGGAGGTCACAATATGATGAGAGTGCGTTTACGACCTGGGCATAGCTTGGAAGCCCATGGTCTCTCCCTCGCTGAATGTCCATGGAAAATAAGTCCATCCCAAAAAGCGATGAGGGTGGTTTATACAATTTACTGGAAACCTGTAGAGCAACATTTTGTAGGGAACACAACTACTTGAAATAAACGGATTTAGTTAGCGTGTATGTATGTATTTACCTCTTGGATAACCGTTTGATCTACGTTGTTCATTGACATTCTACTCATTCCTCGAATGACACTGTCGGGGATTTCGTCACCCATTATTTTCAGTGGGTGTTCTATCGAATCTTTCATCCCAATCGTGGATATAGTTTTCTTGTCTGAAATTATTTTCAGAAAATCTGGAATGGTGGAGTGCCCCATGCGAAATGCTGCCGTTGTATGTTCATTCGACACAGAAGCGTCAACCTCCGAGTTGTATTCTGTGTAGCCCTCGAATTTTGGGAGAAGATTGAATCGTTTGGAATATTTTGAGCCTAGACCATAAAAGAGAATGCGTTTAGGTAAAATACCAATTGTAATTCTTTTCAGTATGAATTTGTGTACCAAGAACAAAAGGAAGGAATTCATTGTATGTGATGTGTTGATACTCGGCAATTACGATACGCCTGGCTTCATGGAATAAGATCTCATCACTCCATGTAGGGTTGAAAGTGGTTAAAATATTGGCAACTCGATTGTGTTCTCTTCGCCAAAGAGTGTGCAACATGGTCAAATATAAATTGTTGTTAGCTCGTGAGTCACCTGTGATGATGACATGAGAAATTTTTAGATTAATCTAGTCCATGAAATATGAGTACGTAATATAAACAATTTTGCAAGTCCATAACACATGTAAAATGCAAGGTTAATTGATATTCTTTGCAAACCTGTTCGAAATCCACATTTCCCAGAGTGTAGAGCTAAATTGCATGACGGATCAATTGTTAGGTAGTCATTCCCTTGATACTCGAATGTTCTCAAGCGTCCGGCTTTGAATTCTCTCAAGTAGTTAGAAACACGATCCAAGGAACCATAAATTTGAGATAAATCCAACCAGTGAGTTACCTACGGAATAGGATTTAAAGCATCTTACAATTGGAACATAAACTTTTAGTCCAGCATTTCACTCTTTTACTGTTATAATTTATACTTGATTGATTTGTTGGGCAGCCCCTATGGCGCACTGCTTTGAGGACACCATGGACCTTACAAATTTTATGCAATATAAAATTATGGGATTCGACATAAACAACTAAATATAAAACGTTTTGCAGCATATCCACATACTCATTAAATCATAAACTACGAGGCAAGGTTGACCCCCACCAGTGAGATTTACATAAAATAAACTGGGGCAGTATGTATTAACAGACGCATGAACATATTACCTTACAAATGGTAAACACTGTACTCCAAAGGTGGAATAAAATGGATCATCCGCTTGGACGTCAATATTCAAACAAAGTGGGTGTTGCTCTGCAGGTTTGTCAAGATACTTTCCTTCTTTGGTACAGCATTTAATCTTTGTATCTTGACCTAAATCATAGCTCACTATTTGGGACAGGTCGTTCCCAACAAATTGACCATGCTCTGCAAACCCAAACGTGAATTGAGAAGAAGGACGTTTGACACCCAAGGAGATGACTGACACAATTTTTCGTGGTGACGGAAGATCTGTGCAGAATGAAAATATATGTAGTTCTATGTACATACTAATTAATTAACATATGTATTTTCAATTTAATCATGGTATGTTAAAATAAATAACTCATCTAGCCCTATTTCCACCGCTCCCGATATACGAGGAAGACTTTCTAGGAGAGAAAATGCCATCCTCGTATGCAGACGATGTGATTCTGACCAAGGGTTCGAAAATTTGTCCTACAGTAATGGCATTCATGTTATTGCAGGATCCGTCAAAAGTACGGTAACGAAGAGTCGTTTGAGGACAAGAAGTTTTTAGTGTATCTTCGAGTAATGGACAGAATATGCGACTTGTAAAAGTTCCCACCACTGAGGCTGCGGGTACTTGTTTGATAAGGCTGGAACTACCAGTCAACCTAATAAAATAAAGTTAAAAATAGTTAGATTTGACCTATGTAAATATGTACGTAGTATTATGTAAATATGGTTACTTTTCAGCTATGGCTTTCGTAACTTCCACAAGGCCGAGTCCTCCATCACCAACATCTCTCGATTCTAGTAGAACATCATCCAAAATTGTCGACATATGTTGAGAATTTCCAGCCAGCTTCATTTCCTCCTGAGAAAGATACAGTTTCTTGATTGTCTCCATTGCTACCTGGGTCCCGTTGGACAAAACTCGATGAAAACGTGGGTTGACGGGTTTAATGGTTCGAGATGAAATATTTAGTAGGAAATTCAGAGGAGTAATGTTCCCGAGGTTCGGAAATATTGATTCTATAGAGCAAACGTAGAATAATTCAGAATAATAAATCAGAATAAATCAAGGATTTGAGATTAGGATTATAAATATTAAGTAGCAATACCCATAGGACAGCAAACGCCCATCGATGATTTTTTTCCTACTGAAGTAGCAGTAGTATCACCTCTTTCGCAAATGTCGACATCCTGACCCCTTCCCGTGTTAAATATATGACTTCCACAAACAACGAGAGGGACGCATAGTCTAGCGTTTTGCTGATTTAGACTGACTTCATTTTTAAAATCGAATATCTGCCAGGGGTATAAAATTGAAGATATATCCCTTCCAGCAGTACAAGTCGCCAATGGCTTTATTGTCGTAATATATTTGGCTGGGTCGGCATCAAAATCGACAGCTTCAGACGATGATTGAGCTTCTTCAACAGTACTTTTTGAATCTTTAATATTTCCACCGTCACCGTCTGCAGTGTTGGGGCCCAACTTTTTAAATATATTCAAAGGACTGTTAAATAAGGCAGATTTTCCAAAATCTTTCAACATCGAAGTTCCCCGATCCATCAAATGTCCTCGAACAAGTTCCTGAATCAGGTCGTTGATATCAGGAGATGCATGAGACTCGGTTTTTGGCATGAGGATTAGATTAATAGTTAAGAGTATAAACGAGCTAAAATTGACTAGTTTCATTATTTAAATTATTGAGCTAAATTTTGATTTAGTAAAAAATAAAAACTACAACTTGATGGATTTGCTCCATAAAATTAAAATGCACTGGTGACTGGGACGACGTAAAATAAGATGTAAGATGAAGCCTGGAATATGTACATACATACTTATACATACACAAGTAAATAAAATAATTTCGCAAGCCAAGACTTATTTTCATATCTCTGTTTGCCTCTAGCATGCAAATTATTAGGTCTTTAGGCAAACTATTTAGTTCTTGCCATGCAAATTAACCCAACAATGCATTGCTGCGTATATCGACGTATTGTGGATCTGAATCAATTCTAGCAACTGAGAATAATAAGAACAGTAACAATAACTTTATTTATTTAGAATTGAATTGCTAAATATTCTTGGTTGAACTGTACAAAACCTGACAAAAATTAAATTTTATGGTATGTCGACTCTCGCCTTCTTAGGGGCTGATTCGTCGTCCGAGTCATCGCTACTTGTGCAACTGCTATCCAGGTCTTCATCCATCCTATTTATTACAAAACATTGATATGTAAAAAGCATACTCTATATTGTAAAAAAAATATTGTTTGAATTATAAGGTTCTTACATTGTTTTCTTAAACACTTTTTTCTTTGCTGGGGGTTGTGCATCGACGGAAGATGAAGTAATTGGTACCGATGTTGATGCCGATGGCGTTGAAACGTCCGTTGGATCTTTCTCTTTCGTTCCATCACTTGAAGACTCATCTGAGGAAGAAGATGTGGCGACAGCAGTTACTGTTGAGCTTGTGCCCGGTTTATTGATATGATCGAATCCTAAAATATCACAGCATTGCATATATTAAAACTGACCTCAGAGTAAACGGCATACATGCATTTGACCAAACCTTTATCGACCGCTTCATACACGGAATCCGCCATCTCTGCCCGTTGCTTATTATACTCTGGATCTTCAATCTTTGGCAAGGGTGGACCTTCGGTAAAAGTCTTTAACTTTTCCAATTTTCGTTTCTTGGCTTCAATTTTTTCCTCTTCTCGCTCCTTCTGTTTGGAAAACCATCTTTTCAACCGTTGCTCTTCATTTATGTCGCGTAATCTACGTCCAGATAAATCACGACAAGCGTCACGATTTGTTGTCTTTTCAATTTGTGCCCCAATCGCTCGTAGCATAGATCCGAAACCTGAACACCACACAAATATTTACATACATACAAATATACAATATCAAATGACAAATTAATCTCGCCAGTTATTGAACGTACCTCCTTTTCCTCCAAGCACTCTGAGATGTACAAGGATACTTTCACATTGCAAAACATGTTGGTCGCAATTGACCAATTTCTCATTGTTTTGTTGTGTTAAATACAATTCATGTGTGGTCACTCCCTACAATACAAATTATTACAAAAATCTTAATACGGAAACTTATAATATGGTTAATTGCATAGAACAAACTTCAAACTTACCAATCGTTTTGCAATCGAATCCTTTAGTTGCGCAAAATTTCTAAATTCTTCATCATTTTCGTCCCGTTGGATCGAAATTGTTCCATTTCTCAGCAGCGATACTTTCATTTTTAACAACTTTTATTACCTGACACTAATTAAAAAGTACACTCACCCAACTCCAGGTGTAACTATTTAAAAAATAATATTTGTCGTTTCTGGCTGGAGTGACGTAAGTCGTGAAATGCGAACAGAAGAGAGATTTTGCGAATTTTGGTGGGGGTGATGTGAACCAAAAACTTGTGGTTACCTTGAATTGAAGGAAAGATAGAAAATTGCCGAGTCAAGTCATGTATGTTGTACCGCCCGCCATCTACCATCTACCCTATGCTACCGTACAGCATCTACTTTTTTATCATCTACCTTTTTTTTCATCATCTACCTTTCTAAAAATCTCAAATTCCCCAAAAATGTTAAAGTGCCCCAAATCTCTGGCATTTATAAATCCACCCCCACAATTTTTATGGGGCAACGTGAGATACATTGGGGCAACGTGAGATTTTATTTCATATTGGGGTATCGTTCGTTTTTTAGCGAGCGAAGCGAGCAGGTTAGGTTAGATCTACTAGGTACGGGAAAAGTGTGAAATGTTTAGTTAGCCAACCTAACTAGCTAGGCTAGTTACAACCTAGCTAGCTAGGATAGATACAACCTAGGTAGCTGTGCTAGCTAGCTAGCTAGGCTAGGTAGCTGTGCTAGCTAGGCTAGGTAGCTGTGCTAGCTAGATAGGCTAGGTAGCTCTGCTAGCTAGCTAGCTAGATTAGCTAGCTAAGCATTTCACACTTTTCCCGTAACTAGTAAATCTAACCTAACCTAATAATTAAGGAATAATGAGTGAAAAAGTCCATTCCAAATGAATCTAACCTAACCTAACCTGCTCGCTTCGCTCGCTAAAAAACGAACGATACCCCAATATGAAATAAAATCTCACGTTGCCCCAATGTATCTCACGTTGCCCCATAAAAATTGTGGGGGTGGATTTATAAATACCGAAGATTTGGGGCACTTTAACATTTTTGGGGAATTTGAGATTTTTAGAAAGGTAGATGATAAAAAAGTAGATGCCGTACGGTAGCATAGGGTAGATGGTAGATGGTGGGCGGTACAACATAAGTCATGTTGGTTGGTCGGCTTCTATTTCAGAAAAGTTGCACCATTGTTGCTAAAGGTAATGAAACCAGTCCAATTTAAACTTCAGCAATTGGAAAAAACAATATTATTATTATTATTAAATACTCTAAGGAAAAAACTACTAATTAATTATTTGCTTAAATTATTTTGCCTGTTTTTAGAAGCGAGTATAAACTTTGGACACCTACAAGTTTTGAACAAGTTCAAGCCTATCAGCAAAAATTCAGTTACATTCTCAAACTTGAGAAATTATTCATTTTCAAAGATGGACGGTGATAAGCACAGCAAGAAGAAAACGTTGGAGAATGCTAACTGGAAAATTCTAGTTTTGCCAGCCGCCCAAGATAACTTGATGTACTTGGTAATAAAGAATTAATAAACCATTAGTTTCTAATTAATGCCGTTGTGATTCACAACTTGTGAATTAATTTTCATTATATATAATTATGATATATAGTAATATGAGTTTTTATATTTTTTGAAGATTGTGGACAAGGGAAGCAAGGAAGCATTTGCGGTGAGTTAATTTTGACATTTTCGTTTTGTATAAAATTATATTAATTCATTTCATTATAGGTCGATCCTTTGGATCCCGAGTATATGCTGAAAGAAGCCAAGGATCAGAAGGCAACGTTGACTGGGATTCTTACGACTCATCATCATGCGTATACCCAATTATTATTTCACGATTTTTGCATCGGCAAAAATAACTCATAACTAATTAATAACTTTTAGTGATCACGCTGGAGGAAACAAGAAACTGGTGGAACTTGTTGCAAGTGAAGGAGGAAAGCTTGCCGTTTATGGTGGTGACGATAGAATTGATGCACTGACAAATAAGGTAATCTAGTATATTGTATATACATGGTGTACAACGTTTTCCCCTATTTCTTTTCATCATTAGCATTTTGTAGCTGTAGCATGGGAGCCTAATATTTCTCCTCTTAACTCCTAATTCTTTAATAATAAATAATGTTTATTTGGCAATTTGGTATTGATGGGTTTTTGTATGTTTTAAAGGTGGGACAAGACGATAAAATTACTTTGGGATCATTGGAGTTCGACTGCCTTTTCACACCTTGTCATACATCCGGTCATATCTGCTATTATCTGAAAACTGCAAATCCTGTAGTTCAGAAGCCTGCTGTTTTCACTGGCGACACATTGTTCATCGCTGGATGTGGACGCTTCTTTGAGGGAACCGCGGAACAAATGCATGACGCCTTGATTGAGAAGCTGGGAAATTTGCCGAACGAGACCAACGTTCTATGCGGGCACGAGTACACTATAGGCAACTTGAAGTTTGCCCTAAGCGTGGAGCCGGACAATGAGTACATGCAGGATAAAATATCCTGGGCTCGGGACCAAAGGACAGAGCTAAATGTCACCGTTCCATCCACGATTGGCGAAGAGAAGAGGATCAATCCATTTATGCGATGCATTGCTCCAGAAGTTCAAAAGAAACTTGGAATTTCTGATCCTGTTACTTTGTTGGGAAAACTTCGTGAAATGAAGGACAACTATAAACCTTAATGTGTGACGAAGAAGCAAACAATCCAACCCAAATCATAAATTCCAAAACATGCATTCTATAAATTATAAGAACAACAGTACTATATAATTACTTTGTTGTCTAAGATGTTTCGCTTCTAAAAATTTCTGTTAGCTTTAATTTCTTGTAATCAGAACTTAGGTATAATTGTCCTATCCATTTGGTGCTTGGTAAATCACTAATCCTTTATTTTCTGTTAATCGGTAATAAAGTATGATATTTTTGTTGGATTGAAGTGCATATGGAATAGCTTGTTGAGAGAGTACCTGGTTTATTTATTATGCATTCACCAAACTATATCCCGTTTCTTTAAGAGGGAGTGGACATTTTAAGCATAACCATTGGTTGAGAACTGGTCAGGAATATGGTTCAGGTAATATGATAACCAGTGCGAAGAGCTTCAATTTCAAGGCAAACCTCTTTAAACCCGATGACAAACATGATCCAGCAACCTCACCAGCCAGACTTTTCATGGTGCGCAGTGTCACACTGATTTATGAAGATGAACCAGTGGGACCACTTTTTGTATTAAATCTCATTGACATGGCTTCGTAGGACCAGGACCATAAAGTCAGTCAGTAAGTACTTGGTTATTGGGTTAACAGCATCAACCACTTTTCTCCCTGAGTGAATGTGTCACTGATTCAACAAATAACGCGATGTACGTGCAAGAAGGAGATCTCAAGGTTACAAGATACTCACGATATTATGCATACATGACCATTCGAATTTTTCACAATTTCCAAATAATTTGCTCAGTATTTATCTGGATTCGGATCTGAATTCTCGAGCGAGGACCCACGTTGCCCAAATTCACTTCCAAAAGGTCAAAATAATCCACAAAAATGTCCCTATAACTTGTACTCCGAGCAACTCTCGGGGACGGCTTTTACAGGTGATACATATGTATATATAACCAACTAATCCTAAGTTAATTAATGAAAATCACTTTTGAGGATTTCCCAACCAATTAATATCTCCACTAATAAACCGGAATTCATCTGTGTGTAGCACCACGGGAGTCAAACCGACGGAGTTGGTTGTACCGGATTAGACCATCAGTTCTCCACGTTCCGTTCAAGCCTCTGACCAGTGTTAATTCTGACAAAATCTTGGCAAATTTTGCCACCCTTCCGGCCGAACCGAATCAGGTTGTACAAAAACTCATCAATATAATTAATTCAAAAAAGTATAAATGGTTACGTAAATGTTTGAAGGCAACAACAAAATTCATTTCAGATGCGATGGTTTCCATTCGAAGCTCCAAAACCAGACGATGGCTTAGATTTTGTGTCTGGTCTCAAGGTAAAATTTATTTTACCTTGAAAAAAGAAACGCAGTAATTATATCCTTAGAATACGTAGACTGTTTGTGGCGCTGGAGACGTCATAACGAGAAATGGCGTCGGAATTTATGTGTATGGATGCAATTTGTCGATGGAAAATTCTGCGTTCTACTCTGCTGATGGAGATTTCCTTATTGGTATGTGTAGAATATAAATATTGCATCTATTGGAGTATATGTGTATGTACTTATGAATGTACGTACATATAATTGTGATGAGTAAATGAGCTACTGTGTTTTTATAGTTCCTGAACTCGGAACTTTGAAAATTACGACAGAGTTCGGAAAGATGGTGGTATCGCCAGGAGAAATATGCGTTATCCAGGTTAGCATAATATTTTTAAAAGATACATTGGTACAACTACCCTCCAGGACATATATAGACATATAACACATACGGATAACGCAAACGATGGCCTGTAAATTTGTGTTTTCCTGGCAAAATAATTATGATAATGAAGAACATGTCGATAAAATTATGTCATGAAAGGTAGATACATATTTCTGTAGAATAACGGTAATTGCTTGCAGTTAATGGATAGAGAGTTTCAGAAAGTCATGAATGAAGCTTTATGAGACGTGTGATAACAGGAGACAATAATAACTTTTACGACAAGAATACATAATCGAGTGCAGATTTTTCGGTATAATTAACGGTTGTGAAAGAAAAGTGGTGCGTCTATTCACTATTGAGCGAAGGTTTAATATTTTGAGATGCACATACATACACGTATATTAAAATTCCTTAAATAACTAGAATAATTAAGTTGAATGTACATTTCCGTGTCTCCAAATTGTGATATTTATGTATGTACGTACATCTATTAATTTAAACAACCTTTACAATGTCTTTAACGGGAATAAATTACTTGTTATTTTTATGTTAGCAAGGAATGCGTTTTGCTGTTTGTGTCGATGGACCAACACGTGGATATGCTCTCGAGGTTTTTGGAACTCACTTCGTTTTGCCAGTTTTAGGACCTATCGGTAAACAGCTTTACACAATTGTAATTATAATGGATTAGCATCAATAAGTAATATGCAAGAAAAAATCACCATGAGGAAGGGAACTGCAATTTGAGGCACATTGAGACACAGTAACATACTTAGGGGCCGTCCATAAATTACGTAACGCAAAAATCGTCATTTTTTAGACCCCCCCTCCCCCCTCGTAACGGCATCGTAACGCTTCTCGACTACCCCCCTCCCCTCCCCCTTCGTAACGTAACATAAATTTGATTTCACCGCAGGTGATTTACTTAGCACTCGCAATGCATTGTGGGGAATTTTGGGGCGGCACCGATGAAAGGAAAGGGGGGTATCGCTCATTCTGTTACCACAAAATAGAGCCAAAAATCCAGTTTATTTTTACTTATACAACCAGATCATTTCGGTTACTCCATTTTGAGATATTTAAGGTCAAAGTTTGACCGCAAACTTTTTTGCATTGAGTTAGAAAATTTGTAACAACTTTGCACTTAAATATTTCAAAATGAAGCAAATGAATTGATCTGGATGTACATATCTATGTAAAAATAAACTAGATTTTTTGGTATATTTCTTGGTAACAGAATGAACGATGGACTCGTTACCCCCCCTTCCTTGACCGGTTCCGCCCTAAAATTCCCCACTGTAATGCAACCTTTTCTCAATTTACACCTGGAAAACTAATGAAAAATGTATATTTACATGCGTACACTGAAACCTTTTGGATGACATGAATTCAATATGCTCGGCGTATCATATTTGGCGAATTTTAGTCGAGTTTATAAAATGTGTTACGTAACAAACTTTTTATACCCCCCACCCCCTTCATAACAATTCGTAACGCACTTCCCATGACCCCCCCTCCCCCCTCTTGCGTTACGTAATTTATGGAAGGCCCCTTATGAGTATGTATGTATATCATGATCAAGTGTAGATTAGCACACCTAAAACAATATATGCATCGGATCAGCATATATTTAAAATGTTTTGCCCCTTTTCAGGCCTTTTCCAGGCACTTAAATGGTGCATATGTGTGTGTCATATGTACGATATCAGTACCACACAACTCCGACACCTTTAAATTCAATATGTAGCTATGACCCATGGCAAGTCGAATTGTTTCCTATTCGGTATTTCATGTATGTATGCACAGGACCTGTCTCGGCCCTGTACCGGTGACAATAAATATATACCGTTTGCCCGAAAATGGGCAAAACGGAACAAAACCGGTACCGGCATTTGGTTATCCGGGACACGAATAATTATGTTTGTACATATGTCTATATGCCTTTGTTGCTTGTGTGCATATGTATGTACATAAAACGGCTCTTCCTCCACTGACTTTTTATGACTAATGATATTTATTGATTCTTAATTTGCATTTGATATCCTGTATGAAATGTAATGCAATGGGAACTAATGCAGGTAGAAATAAATCTAATTTTGCATAAACTTGTATTTATTTGCAGGAGCAAATGGACTCGCAAATCCTCGGTATGAACAATTTCATTAATGTGTAACAACTTAATAGAAAGCCCAATTCGTGTCATACAGGGATTTCCTGCACCCTACAGCATGCTATGACGATAAGGTCGGGGAATACAAAATTGTTGCAAAATTCCAGGGAAAATTGTTCTCCGCCGTGCAAAACCATTGCCCATTTGATGTGGTATTATGTCAAAATGATTGACAAAATCATACAATTGGCGTATGTATATGACGCCAATTGTTCTATTTACTTGTTTGCCTATTCCCAATAGTTCTATTTTAATAAATATACTTTGTGAAGGTCGCCTGGCACGGAAATTATACTCCCTACAAATATAACTTGACCTCCTTCATGACCATCAACACTGTTTCATTTGATCATTGCGTATGATTAGAAATAAATTATAATAAAATTATAAAACTATTTGAAAAACATATTTACATAACTGAGTTACTTCCCAGGATCCTTCAATCTTCACCGTGCTGACAGCCCCATCCGTAAAACCTGGGGTTGCTATTGCAGATTTTGTCATATTTCCTCCACGGTATGCACAAAGAGTGAAGTTGTAAGAGAAGTTCTCTTAGAGAACTCATTAATTAATATCATTTCGTATGTATTTTCCAGATGGTCCGTTGCAGAACATACCTTTCGTCCCCCGTACTATCATCGTAATCGCACTCAATTTCTAGAGTTTCTTGATGGGTTAATTTATAAAATAATTTCGTATTTTCTTGTAGGAAACTGCATGTCAGAGTTCATGGGACTTATCAAAGGGTCGTATGAAGCCAAAGAGGAAGGATTTCGTCCTGGTGGTGCCACGCTTCATCAGGTGAGTGAGAGGTTTCGTTAAATTGTTTATAGGGGAAAATTGATACAAATAAGTACAATTAAATAAAAATAATAACAAACAGATCATGACCCCACATGGCCCAGACGCCCAGTGTTTCGAGGGTGCGAGCAATGCAAACCTGAGCCCTGTTCGAGTTGCAGACGGAACCATGGTATGCATGCATAGACCAATTTTTCACGACACAGCTTTATTTATATTCGTGTTCGTAACTCTTTATCAATTACATGATTTCTACTTAGGCTTTCATGTTTGAATCGTCTTTCAACCTAGCAGTTCTTCCATGGGCACTTGAAACTGCGAATCGCGACCTGAAATATCACGAGTGCTGGGCTGGACTCAAGTCGCATTTTAATGAACAAGAACAATGAATCAATGAATGTACATTTTGAATATACTTTAAATGAATAAAGTTGAATTGACATATCTTCACGGGTGAACTGGTTTGAACCAGCTCTGGCTAACAAGATTCAGATAATTCAGTTAATCTTGTTGACACGATACGTAATTTTAAACAAAATTTTAGTTTAACATTATAATTTTCAATGATTTGATGTTTTGATTGCCTATAATGATACATTTTTGAGGTGACTCGCAGGAATTATTGTGCAATGCAATAAACACAATCAATGCCTTTATAATTATAATTCCACATCTGCAGAAAATTTATTATACATAATACACTCTAAGAGTTCATTTAAACGATGCATAGGCCTAAAATCATATCAGAGGCAAAAGAATAGTCATCGCATTGTCGGTCATTGCTACGTACGATGTTTTCTATTGTTTTGAGCAGTTATTACGTAGCGGTCACCCTCTTGACATTGAGGAAGGGCTCTGTTCCATACCAGCAAACGAACGTAAGAAAAAGTGCTTGAAACCTAAAAATAATCAGCTACATAGAAGGTAAATACATATAATCTAATTTACGACTTGTATATTTATTAAAGGATCACGTCGAATCAATTGTCCAACTTTTAAACCAACAAGGCCCTCATCACAAAGAAGCTGAACTGTTGTGGAAGGGGATACAATTCCCGACAAAAAATACAACACAGCCCTCCAATCTTTTTTTGAATCACTGGTTTCAAGAAATCCTCCACAAGTCCAGCCTAATAATAAGCAATGAAATCAAAGATCCTACTGAGAGTCGACGAGTAAGTTCCAGTTTCTCAAAAGAATTGTCAAAATTCGTACATTCGTCTGTAGAACTAGAGAACAAAGCTGAATGCTACTCTAGCATTTTGAGGAATCTAAAATCTAGAAATAATTATAATGATGATGTAGTTTTCTCTGTGGCGAAATTTGTAATGTTTGACAGCGGACAATTCGATAAACCTGAAGATAAAGCTGAATTGAATGAATTGTTTGGCCCAGTTGTGTGGCCAATCATGGAAGGTAGGAATATTACCTTGAAAAATTCTAGATTTGGATATTATCTGTATATTGGCGAAATTCCAACGCGAGCTAACAAACAAAAGGAGGTTTGTAATATAATACATATATGTACAAGAAGAGTATATGGTATCAGGTCACTAATTTATTTTTAACTTAATTAATATGCGCAGGTCCTTTTGTGGAAAAGCTCCCAATTTGTAAATCAAGCTCAAGCTATTTTTAATTTTCAACTGAGTGGACTACTGAAGGAAGAAGCATCTCAATCAAAGTTCAGATTGCTGCACAAAGTCCCAGCGACAATTGGAAACAAGAACGAGTTGGCATTTACACTTGGACCAACTAAAAATTCCTCCAATATATCAGGAACAACAATGTCATCGGTGACATTGGCAGCAAAACCTCCTTCTCCAGATTCCAGACAGTTGTGGGAAGTTGAGTTAGCCAAAGATGGACAATCAGTGTTAATAATAATTCAAAGTGACAAAGCATCCTCTGGAATTAGCAAATATGTCGTGTGTGCACCACCAGGACCAGAGTTTGAAGTTGATGAGTTGCGACGTAGAGCTGGAATACTGGAATTTCCAGCTAATGTCGAACCAAATCTTGAATGCGAGTGGAGTGTTATTTTAGCATAATTAAAGCACTCACATATGCAATTTTGTAGTTATAATTTGTTGCACTTTTTCTTAAAATCCAAATTCAGCAGTACAAAATTTATTCTGTGTTTTTACCAATAAATTAATTAATTAATATATAAAATTGTTATTCGTCAAAAGTATTTAGCATCACGATATTTCTTTATGATCATCAGTATGTTTCGTCTATATCAACTTCATCATCCTCACTGGATATTACCTCGTTCGCAAAATCTAGAATTTCGGAGGAGTGGATTTTCCGTTTTGAATCGACATCGCTTTTCTCGACAAACAATACTTTTTTGCCCTTGGTAACTTTTTCCTTTTTTGGTACCAATTCTTCTTCCGAAGTGGTGGATCTGGTTATAGCTCTACGTTTGTCTACTGGAGGGGGAGCAGTTGTTGTTAAAGTGTCCAACGGAACAGTTTCAGTCGTGGACTTTGAATGGTGAACTCTCATAGAGCGTCCTTGCACAGCATGGCGACGAACTGATGACAAAATTCCATAATCAGGTTCTTCCGTCGTTGCCTTCCTTCTTTTTCTTCTCATAGATCTTCCCGAAGCCACACCGGGCGCAGGTGTCGTAGAATCAGCATTGACGGTGGTATTAGAGCCGCTTGGTGGGGGAGCGGGGGTGGTAGCAGTTTCGTTACCAGCGGCGGGTGCGACTGTGGTGGACGTTTCATTGCTAGCAGGCGCAGCGGAAGTAGCATTGGACGGAGGTGCAACTGTCGAATTTGCGGCAGGAATTGTCTCGTTCCCGGCAGGAATTGTTGCATTTCCGGCGGGAACTGTTGTGTTTCTGGCAGGAATTGTTTCGTTGCCGGCGGGAATTGTGGCGTCGCCGGCAGGAACTGTTGCGTTTCCGGCAGGAATTGTGGCGTTGCCGGCAGGAACTGTTGCGTTTCCGGCAGGAATTGTTGCGTTGCCGGACGCTGGTGGGGTTGTGGTCGCAGAAGGATCTGTCGCTGGCATAGGTGAACTCGCGGTTGAAGTGCATGAGGGGTCAGAGGCTGCGTCCGCATCGCCAGTATTTTTGCAAATAAAATACATTTTCATATCACAGGGATAATCGTTGAAATAATGACTTTCTTGTCTGCCCGTAGCATTCCCTGCTTTCTGCTCGTCTTCTAAAAGGCATTCAAGGTGTAAGTGAGAGTTTCTTAAATAAATCTACATGATTGCATATACATATGTATAAATGTTTCTATGATATGGTTGTACTATTTATCGTGGTCTGGAGTGATAAATTGGACTACTATGATAATAATAATAAATAAACATTACTGTGATAAACTGGGAACCCAGCACAGTGCTCTGCCGATTTCGTTGTGATGTGATCTGGCTGTAGGATAATTAGCATTTGCACAATAAGTATTATACTTTTTGTAGAAAATTGATTTCCAAATAGAGTCTGATAGTAAACGGAATAACCTGTTTAGGATACCACCTGTATGATGCCACGTTGGACACTGGTGTACCTTCGACTTTGGGTTTTTTCATCCACACCCACTCCCCCTCCTTCTTTTCGTCTGTGAGTCCAAACCAGTATCTGCATGAATTGTTTTTAAAATTTCCCTAATTTTAATATTCCTGTCATTTTTTACGATAAACCATGTAAATTCCCATCTTGCTTAATCAGTACAATAAAAAATTATGAAAACAATCATGGACACAAAGCCAGCCTACATTTGAAGGATTAAACTAATAGTGATTCACCTTCGATCCAGTCCAAATTCATGAGGCTCCTTCCCAGTATCATAGGCTTCACTGAATACGGAAATTTTGTAAATGAGGTCCTTTACTTTATTTGCTTCGGCTGCGGTTTCGAAAGTGGCCATGCTACCCAAACATTTTGAACAAAACTCTAGCGACTCTGCATAAGTAAGCTGGAATTTAAAAAAATGAGGCATACACACAATTTAAACAATTCAATGCCACGTTCTAAACTTACTTTCTTCTGGTAAATCCGATAGTCTTTATCGAGATCAACATATTTTAGCGATCCACTTGTGTCGTCTGTCATTGTAATGATAGTTCAGATTTTTGTCGGGCATGAAATTATTTGATTTATGCTTTATTATGTCTCTCACCCTTCAATCCACTACTATCCGTAGTTATGATATGCTCGGATAATGATATTAAAGTTAACACAGAAATATAGCACAACCTCATTTTTCCTCGTTGAATATATTACGAGTAATATTTAGGGACATATTTGAACATGTAGTTTAAAGAGCTTTAGGCTACTCCACACTGTTTAGAGGAATTATAGTTATTAAATATAAGCTACTTTCTCCTTATTCAATAACTTGAATTGTGCTTGCACGATAAAACATAAGTAACTCGTTAATCTAATTTAGTAAAAGCATTTCCATTTCATTCCGCACATTTGTTGACATATTTGTATCGCACTCTCCAATTCATTCTCAGTGGGCAAATACAAAAGGCGTTAGGACATGGTTTTGACGAATTCATGCCTTAATTGCGGGATGGATTTTAGTCATAGAGATTTCTAACTTTTTTTATCTGAAAGCCCATGTCTCAAACTATAGGTAAGCTTATCTGGCTTCCGACTTTGTGTACTCTGCGAAATGAGGCAAGGTCAAATTTGGAGAGGTGTCCTTTTTTAGTTTTCCAAACCAGTGTTGTTATAAAATGGCGTTGAACAAAATATTTTTTTCTGAGGTCCTGATGCAAAAATAGTTTTTGCGACTATTTTTAAGGGACTTAGCATGCTTTTCACTATATAAAACCACTTTTGCCTCATGCTTATCTTTTAAGTCCGTTTTACAGTCTAATTTCATACTTGTCCTAATGAAATGCGCTCTTTAACGCAACTCTTCCACTTTTAAGGCCCCCACATTTTACGACTTTGATGCTAAAAATCCCTTACGTGGTTTTTATTCAAGGTACATATAGTATATTGCACTGTAAGTACTTTTGACAAAATTTTGATAAGTGGTTACACCCCACGGACTAAGTTTTCATCAGACCTTATAAACTTTTTGGAAAAGTTCCCGTCGTTTTCGATGTCGAACTTCAGAAATAATTTAACTAACCAAAACGCAATAATTTTATTATTTTGTCACTTGTACCTTGTAGATAAAATAGTTCTGCAGCAGGGGACACCAAAAGATTATTAAAATTTATTTTCGAAAAAATTTGACCATTAATTTTCCAAATAAGTTCACGAGTTTTTTAGGATTCTGCGACAGCTGATTAGCTCGGGTCCTTCTATAAAACTGTTTACACAAAATCTTGACTGTTTGTTTTAATATTACTTAGGACACTTCCAGCTTTACCCTCAAGCTGCATTTGACCCGGTGGGTCAACTTTCAAGGTCAGCAGGTTAATTTTTCCGCGCACGGTCTGATTTATCATTTTTTGGGCAAACTATCCGCGATGATGGAAGGCCCACGTTGTGTGATTCATTACGGATTCTTTTATTATTACATGCAATGATTATCTAGGGTTATTATATTAACAATCATTCACCTCTGACCTCTTTGGTTATCATGCTATATAAGCAATTAAGTTTGGAAAGTGTTTTTTTGGCTTCTACCAACTCCGGGGGCACTGTAGGGTGCATTTGTGAAGCTATCACCCTAAAATTTTAAAGATATCTTTTTGAGAGTATTATCTTGCAACCTACCAAAAATCAGTTCAAAATTCAACTCCCCGCAAAAGATATTCACCCGAGAATTCGTCAAAACCATCACCTAACGCCTTTTGTAATGCTTGGAGCAATTTAGTGAAGAACAATTGATATGCACAATTAACAAGTAACAACAAGTTAAGAATGCTTAATTAAATTTAATCATTACTGGCATTTGCAACTGGCAAGTCAATAGATTGATTAATTAATCTAACATAACCGACAATTTCTAAAATCATTGGCCAAATTTATTTCCTGTTCAGGAAATGAACTTCGTACTTCACAGTACGAAAGTAGTTCATCGCAATGGATGGTTCGTTAAGTTTATTTTCGTTCTTAGCAACGCTGGCTGGAGAAAAAGTCAAATTTTGGTTTTTCTCGTTTACTTATTTCGTGAGCTACCAATATTATTTGACACTTTATCATTCTATGGGGCACCGCCCATAGAAACGATGTCAGTTAATCGTGGTGAGCTACCTCTTCTTGTCCAATATTATTTGACACTTTATCATTCTATGGGGCACCGCCCATAGAAACGATGTCAGTTAATCGTGGTGAGCTACCTCTTCTTGTCCAAAATTATTTGACACTTTATCAGTCTATAAGGTTACGACAAATGGCCGAGTTATAAAATAAATTTTCATTTTTATTAGCCCGAATCAGGGCTTATGGAACCGTCATGTTCGTCCTTCCGTCCGTAAACACGATAGTAAAAACGACTGAACCGATTGACTTAAAATTTTTACCATGTACATATTGGACAAGTTATGTAGGAAACGAGTTCGAAGGCGGACGAAATCGGTCAAGTGGCCGACCGGTGGGGGTCATGTGAGTAGGATAAAATTTCGAAATTTCAAAATTGTCGTAGAAAACCGAAATTTTGTACAGAGGTAGCTAATGACTTCTACTAGAAAAAAAATGAAATTAAGTTGGAAAAATTTTCATCTTGAGGGACCCTATGGATTGACCCATACCGGTTTTTCAAAATGGTCATATCGGACTGAAATTTGGTAGACAGGTTGCTTATTGGTCCTAACGGAAGAATATGAAATGACATTGGTAGAATTTTTATCTTGAGGGACCTTGGGATGACTCACGCCGATTAGAAATTGCTTTAAAAACATGAAATCCGGCACCGTGATGCTTTATGGCTTCTCATTAAAGAATATGGAGTTAGAATGCCAAATAATAGAAAATACTTAATAAACATTTAACCATCCACACCACGGAGGTTGGTAATATTATTTTGTCGGTGAGTTCGATAAAAATAGAAGTGAGCTCGGAGTCAGGGACAGAATCCCTGACTCGGACCAAATGGAGTCTGCACTGTAGATTTCAAAAAATAAAAGTTGATAAAAATATATGTAATACATGAGTTATATTACAATGGGAATCTAATTTTTAGGCCTTTTCACATGTGCTTATAGATTTTTCAAGATGCCTGTCTGTGCGCACGATAACTCTCTTTAAACACAAGCTAGCGCCCTGAAATTTTGCGAAGTTCAAAAGTAAGGATGGGTTCAAAGATGTCTTTTAAGTGGTTAGGGGTTGACTAAAAAAATATTAAATGCCATAGAAAAGTCCCAAATTTGTCGTAGGAAGTTGAAATTTTGACAACGGGTGAGACCGTAAGGCCTAATCCATGCAGATTTTTCAAAAATATGCCACTCCACCAGTCAATGGTCGTTTTGACCGACAACCGCAACGCCTGACTCGGGCTAAATAAAGGCAGCATATAGGAAATTTCAAGTTTACTATTAGACATAATACCCTCGAGATTTTTAGCTTAAAAAATCAATCTAAAAATTACGATGATTTCATCTTTCAGAATTAAATCTCTATGTTTGCCCATTCAAAAGTTATTAAAGGTCAAAGTAGTTGGTGTCTGTGCGATGGACTTCAGACACCAATGATTTTAAAAATAATTATTTTATTTGCAACTCGACCATTTGTCGCAACCGTTAACCTTATAAAAACTAATTAATTTTGACCTGGATACCATTTAAAAACGGAATTTAAAATGGTTTCTATTGCTCTTTACTTTCTGGGGTGCAAAATACCATTGAGACCGAGTAGTGGGGCGGTGATAAAATCAGTTGGGGACTGAATTAATGCAAACCGATTTTGAATATTCTGCTTATGCAGTTTTGATTTATTACGAACCAAGAACTGATTCGCGAACAATAATTAGAACATTATACACTTTTTGAACATGAAATTTCAATTATAAATCAACAATATAACTGAGCCAAATGGCACACACTATAAATTTTTGACATGACAGTGGGATTTGATTTTCATAGTAGTACAACAATTAACTAAACGAACAGTAAATCATCATCATTGATGACATTACTATCATGATTTTGGGATGCATTATATATTTCAAACAAGTTATTGTAATCGTAACGTGGTGAATTTTGTCCAGTGTTCTGTGACTCGTTGCGATCCGCTAGTGGCACTACTTGCTGCGATACCTGCTGCTGCGATAACTGCAACTATTTGTGAATACACTACATAAATTCTCAGCAAAGATAAATAGCATGTTCTCGACTTACCATTTCGTCATGATAAAATTTGAAACAGTTGAAGACGCTGCTACCAATGCACAAACGTTTCTCGCAAGCAAGGCACTTGAACTGCATAATCGTCCTCTTCCCCAATTTTGTTTTGCAGTGGAAACAATCGGATTTGCTTGGGTAACCGTTTTCTTTCATAACTCGTTCTAATTATTTTCTTATTCGCTAAGGGTACTGAGACACGGCTTTGGGAAGGTCTTCCTCTTGGCTTCCGTGCTACGGGGAACTTCGTGAGAATGTTGTGGATTATTGATTTGACGAACGCTTCGTAATTAAGACGGCGGAATCCAACTTGATCGTTTTGGGTCGTATTGTACATAATCATTGAATTATATACCGAGAGCTCGACCAAATAAAATGCGACCTTTTTATACCACTTGTATGACTTGCGGAGACTTTGGTTGGGTTTTATCGTTTTGTCGACATTGTCCACCCCACCCATAGTCTTGTTGTAGAGTAAAACTGTATCTGGCTTCATTCGTTGGTTGTTGGGGTTGGTGGAGGGCCATTCCGTCATTCCATGGGGCATGAAAGTGTTGAGGATAAGCACTTCCCGCCTGTCCTGCCATCTTGTATGTACAAAGAGGTTCTAAATTTTTGAAAAAAAACAATAAATAGAAATATTTCACCAACCTTTCTATCAAAACGTCTCCATCACTAAAGGTTTCAACCTCTCCTTTTCTGAGTTTTCGAGTCATCCTTGCACCTCTTGGAATTCCTTTCCGTCTTTTTTGTACAGTCCCCAAAACATACGTGAGACGATCTTTCAACATCCTTGCTAATTTGAGGCTGTGGAACCAGTTATCGATTATGATGCGACGACCAGCATCTAAGTATGGCTGCAAAAGAGTCAGAACGGCGGCTCCCCCGAATCCAACAAGAGAAATCCACGAGCGGTCAGTTATCTGCGTGCTCTTGCCTTGATATGGAAGAACATCGAGAACAAATTGCATTGCGCTATTCACGACGAGGAACAACTTCACTCCAAATCTTGACCTTTTTTTCGGGTTATATTGTTTAAAGGATAACCTGCCTTTAAATGGAATTAAACTTTCGTCTATACATAGAACTTTTCCGGCATGAATTGCGCGTTGAAAATTCATCAGCAGGTCGGTCATAAAACTTCCGAGTTTAATGAAGCGATCTTGGTTGGTTTGTGGCACGGTTTCATTATTTACGAAGTGGAGAGCTCTCAAAATGGATATAAATCTAGTACAGAATGAAAAATGTGTGATAAATGCATATATTGATATGTACATATTTATAGAAGATTACCTATCTCGACTCATGACAGAAGGAAAAAATGTGGTCGAAACTAAGGGGTCTGTGGACCAGTATTCTTTATAAGATGATTTTTTAACAAGCGTCATGGCCAAAATAAGAGATAGAAAGCGCCAGATATCAGCAGCAGTGACTGGGGTCCAACCAATAAATGCACGGGGAGAGGTTCGCTTCACTTGCTCAGCGTATCTGTTCGACTCCACAGCTATCTTTTCGACCATGGAGTCATCAATGAGTTTTCTGAGAATGTCTAGAGATGTTCCAAAGTGGTGGCGAAAATCATCCTTTATTTGATCATCTGGACCTTGGAAATTATGCACGGGTGGACGAAATTCTTCATCCCAGTTTATGGTTTCATCCTAATAAGTAGAGCAAGGTCATAATCCGAGGAATGGTCACAAACGAAAAGAATATTAAACCTCGTCAATATCGCTGTCAGACTCGTCCTCAGCTTCAAAATCATCTTCTGAAGCAGCGTCGTAGTAGAGGTCGTCGTCATCACCTTCCGATATTTGCATAGCCATGATTTCCAAAAGTTGAGAGTACCTGTTGAAACGTGAAATAAATTTGAGTCGATATTCGAGGAATATTTAACATTTATGCACATACATATTACAACAAAATATACAACACTTACTGGATATTTTCCTATCTTTTCTGGAATTTTGGCTGGCTGTATGTTCAGCAATTACTCCCCCAATTACAGCTCTCCCCTCAAAAATTGCAGTTCAAGCGTGAAGAAAGTCCAACGATAAATAAGGAGGAAAGAATGGAGCAGCTGAGAAAATTTTCTCCGTCACTTTATTTTTATTTTTTTCCTACACCTTATTGATGTAGCCCGGTCTCAACGGAATTTTGTAACCATACACCTTATTGGTGGAATCCGTCGTCAACGAGAAAAAGTTGGCCTACACCTTATTGGTGTAGTCCGTCACCAAGAGATCGAAATCGCCCTCCACCTTATTGGTGGAATCCGTTTTTAAAAGGTTAAGGGAGACGCGTTACCTAGATACTTAAAGTCAAGCAATCGTGCTTCTTGTCGCTACATCTTTTCTTAAGTGGTGTTTATGCTTCACGTCACCGTCACGATCTCCTCCAAATCCGATTTTTTGATTGGTTAAAATTTTTAATTGTCATAGTGATAATTTCGCTCAGCCAATCAAAAAATCGGATTTGGAGGAGATCGTGACGATAGCGTGAAGCATAAACGCACCTTTAGAAATTTTATTACCGTCTACCAACCATGTCGGAATTAAAAAGCTCAGTTTTCACCGTAAAACAACCCTTGGCGAAGGTTCGGAAACTAAAGTACAAGTTGAACTCATTGGATGACTTTATGTTTTCGCATTATCATTTCCTATTGGAAATTTGTAAGTACTTATTTAGATACTTGTGTATATAATGCATTTATGTATGTATGTCTATACTGTAAATTGTGCAATATTTTGTAAATGTTGGTCAGCTTTTACTAAATAATTTACGTACATATGGAGAATTTAGATTTTGATCACATCGAATTATTGATCCCTCACTGGCAGGACAAGATCCGGTCCATGTTCCAGAAATTTGAGGAGGTGGGGAAGTCAAAAGATCATCTACAAAAGATCGAGCTCCCATCGGACACGGATATCGCGAAAGCTGAGCGACTTAGCATTAATCAAAAAAGTGGTGAATATACATAAATATGCACCTTCATTGTCACATTTCTTACTATATAGCTTAGTTTATACTAATAGATAAGTGCATATGTAATACTATAGGTTGGTCGGGTGGGAAACGTCCCCTACAAAAGAAAAAAATGAAGGTAGCCGCTGTTCTTCGGGAGAAGGCTTACTATGAAAAAATTGTGTGCAGCACAGAAGACTGGATTTTGAAAGCTTCCAAGCAGAAAGCCATGATTGAAAAGCTGAAAGTGTAAGTCAAAATAATAAACCAATACTAAAATACGTATATTTGAAATTGTCTTGTCTAACACAAATCTACATAAATAAATTTGTTTGCAGAAAAATAAGATTAATAAAGCGGATAATGTGCACGCTACACCATAAAAACGGTGTTCGCTTCGACGAAGAGCCGCTCAAGGGAGTTTTTCCAGACGGCATTCCCGAAGAGAGCAACGCCGAAGCTTCTGATGTTACCAGCAGCAAAGATGATGACACCGAATACGATGGATCCTCTTCAAGCGAGGATTTTGAAGACGAGAGTGAATTTGACAGCAGCACGGACCATGAGTCCGAGCCAGGTAAAAATGGGTCGTCATCCGTTGACCAAAGTATAGTTCCACCCAAAGCGTTGGTTTCCAGTAAAACAAGTCAACAACAAGGAAGTGGCTCAAATGCTAAAATGTGTGTAGGACTTATTTGATATTCAAACCCGAATGCTAAATGTTACCTTTTTGATTGATTTGTATATTTTACATGTACGATATAGGACGCCCCATCATCAGAACGTTCCCCATGAAATCCACACAATCAGTGTTGCAAATAAAGATAGATCACCAGGGGAAAGTTTAGATTCTGGGTACAATATTGCAAGTACCGTTGCAGAATTTGTTAAAGATCGAGCATGCCAGACAGAATTTGTAGATGTTGATAATGATCTTGAATTTTACGACGGTAAGCTAACATTGTTTTCTGGAAAACTGTAATGAGTTTTTGTATTTATTAGTAGATGAAGACGTGGAATTGTGTCAAGTCATTGATTTCCAGTAGCAAAACTTTTCTGACAAAAGAAAAGTTAAATACTTAGTAGGATTATAAGTATTTTATTGTATTATCGTCACTTATTGTGCGCATAATTTATACTAATTATTGGGCATATTCTGCCTTAAATTTTGAGTATATAAAATGAAACATTAAAAACATGAATGTTGTCTAGATTTTTACCCAAGTAATTTGCAGTTTTATTTTTACAAGTATAAGCCTTGCATATGTATATATGTAAGTATATATACATAAGTATATAAATACTTCAATATTTTCAAACCTTTACAAAACTTTTGAAAATAGACCGTGATATTTTTCTGCATCATGTCGTATGTAGGACAGCGGTGGTGGCGGCAAGTCGTTGGTTTCTGGTCGTTTCTGGCTTGTGTGTCAACCATTATTGTAAGAAATTAGTAAAGTGGCTGTGACAGGTGACATAGAGAAAGAAGAGCTTGGCTTGGAAAGCTTGGTTTCTGTCCCCAGAGACGACCTGCGTCACATCACTTTCCCCAGTCCACAGTTTCAGCCGTGGTGCTGGAAGTAATGGACCAGAAGACGCAGATAATCCAGACCGTACTACTGCAACTCATGTTTTAATAATACATCGGGTTGATGGATACATCTCAATTATCACTAGATCGCATTTTATATTTATTACACATGCATTTTTCCTGTTTCTCTAATTTTAAAGCACTTGAAGCCTCATTTGATAAGAACTTTGAAGTTCTTTGACCATGGCCATACTACTGAACAGTAGTATGGCCATGGTCTGACCAGAGAAACTCTGTCATCATTTTCATCTCTACCAATAATGCCACACGAGAGCGCGAGAAAAGGTTTCATCTGCATAAACTCTGCTGAACAAAAAACTGGATGAGGCTACTACTGTTAAGAACCTTTAAATTTATTTTTCACGTACTTTAAAATATAATTATATGTATTTATCACTAATTCATGATGAATTAATACGATTCTAGAAATATAAATACATTCATACAAGTGGAAAAACTTATTTACTACGCAATATATTTGCTACGCAATAAACATGAGAACCTTTTTAAATACCTGTGCTGCGTTTATTATAGTTTATTGGTGCTCGTTTTGTCCTTCGACATTAGAAAATTCGATGCAAATTTGAGATGACAGTCCATTAGCCCTCCTTGATTCTGTTGCTTTCTGCGGTTATCTATGTAGCTATCACCCACCTTTAGCAGGAGGATGGTTGAAAAAGAAGCTTTATATAAAGAGCAAGCAGGGAGAGCAGGCAGGTAAGAAACTGGACTGACATTCATTTGTCCCTGTCCTTCCTGATTATCTCAAATTCACCAACTTCTTGTTTTCTGACATTTTCGAAATGGCTCTCCCGTGCAAGATGATAATGTGAAAGACACCCAAATTGTTTCTTGTTGTTTCGTGGCGTTAGTTTAGCGTTACAAGTTACATACATTTACACTGTCAGACTTGGGAAGGAGTGAAAGTGCTAAATTACTCGAGTAGTAAATATATAAAATATTGAGTAGTTTCAAAGTATGTACACCATACAAAAGAGTGCTGCACTGTTGCTCGAGTTTGTTTGTCATACGGGACAAGTAAAACTAAATATGCGTAGTAGTACCAGGTAAAACAATAGAATCGTTCTATACGTTTTCCAGTACATAGGACTTAATTTGATCTACAAGTATGTATTTATTAAGCAATGATTATCAATGCTAACGATACAAACATTTATTCAATTTTAATTTCTAGTTTTTAGCCCGAGTCAGGGCTTATGGAACCGTCATGTCCGTCCGTCTGTCTGTCTGTCTGTCTGTCTGTCTGTCCGGCACGATAGAGCCAAAACGGCTGAACCGATTGACTTGAAATTTTTACCATATGCATATTGGACAAAGTTAGGAAACGAGTTCGAAGATGGGCGAAATCGGTCCAGTGGTTGACCGGTGGGGGTCATCGGAGTGGGTGGGGTCTTATGCACCAAAATTTCAAAATTGTTGTAGAGAGCTGAAATTTGGTACAGAGGTTGCTAATGGCTCCTAATAGAAAAAAATAACTTCAGGTTGGAAAAATTTTCATCATGAGTGACCCTATGGGGTGACCCATACCGATTTTTCAAAACCATCATATCGAACTGAAATTTGGTGGAGAGGTTGCTTATGGGTCTTAATAAAAGAATATGATATGATATTGGTAAAATTTTTATCTGGAACGCCCCTATGGGGTGACCCATACCGATTTTTAGAAATTGTTTTAAAAAGATGAAATCCGGCACAATGATACTTAATGACTGCTAATTAAAGAATATGAAGTTAAAAGTGAACAAAGTGCAACCAGACCAAAGTGACCAGAGTGCAATCAGTATGGGGTGACCCATACTGATTTTTAAAAATCGTTATATCGAGCTGAAATTTGATTTGGAGGCTGAATAGCACATACATACAGCTTAGAACTTCAGGTTGTTAAAGAAGCCACTGGTCATGGTGGTCAAGGCACATGATTTGTAACTAATTCAAAAATTTGGTACCAAATAATAGAAACTATCTAACAAACTTTTAACCATCCACAACACGGAAGTTGGTGATATTATGTCGGTCAGTTCGGAAAAGAATTTAGAAGCGGGCTCTGACTTATTAAGTCAGGGACTATGTCCCTGACTCGGGCTATATGGAGTCTGCACTGTAGGTTTTTGTATTTGAATTTCTAAATAAGTAAATAATTTCTAAATAAATAAATATATATCACTTAATTCCTCCAAACAAACCTTGAGACTGTCATTTCTAATAAAATACTGCTCCAAGAATTTTATCATTTGCATAGTCAACACCACTCCATGAAAAAGTGCTCCTTCATTTACCTTCTCCTTTTCATTCTTTCCTTGAATGTTTCCATGATGGCTGCACGCAGCGAGACCAGCGGAAGACCAGCCAATCCAACCAAAATGCTGTAAGAGTCAAAGAGTAGGAGAAAGAGAGAGAAAGTTGTGTAATAAACCAGGAAGGATTTCAAGATGGAAATTGAATTTGATTTAATTAGATGACTCCAACTGGGTATAGAATAAGTGTTCGTCGTTTATCATTAAATTAAGCCTATTAACCCTTTGCTACCACCCCACCTCTCACCCCAACGCTCCTCCTCAACTCCAAACTGTATGTGGACATGCATACGAGTACCACCTGGTCTGCCCACCAGGCCCAGAGATGGATGTGACCTCTTCCTCTCTCTCTCTCTCTACGTATGACGACGTCCACGCCACGCTGTTATTTTATTTGACGCCACAGGAGAGATGGGAAAGCATGGCAAGGAGACAAGGTAAATGAAATCAGGGAGACTTTCTTTCTTCATTACTGCGAATGAACAACAACACATCACGTTATTTATTTTTATTGGTTTTTTAATAGACAAAATCTGATGGCAGAATATCTACAGAGAGCGAATATCCGCTAAAGGAGGAGATATTCCGATGTCAGAAATTTATTGATTAGCTGCAAGATATGTATATGCAACAATATTGGTAGAAAGATGCGTGACTTCTTCCCTCTGGGACTGTGATGATGGCGAAGAAAAGTCAGCAAAATTTAATGAAGAAAACCAAAAACCTGGAATAACTTAAAACTCTGGAGACGTGGTTCAGTGTCGGATGTAAATTTATGATTAATGTATTCACCCAGTAATGAGCTTCCCATGTTTAGTCACTCACTCACATATATCCATGCATAATAATAACGGTGGCATCTATAGCAGCATGGGTAGTAGCAATGTGAGGAGAAAGCGTCTTCATCATCTTGGGCTCGCTGCTCCCTTGTCTCCTTGCCTTTAATCTTGACAACTTTAATGGAATGTGATACAGTAAATAAGGTGAGACGAGGAAGAGTTTGCTCCCCAAAGGTCTAAGATCATCTGCCCGCTTCCAACTTCATCAAACCAAACCAATGCTACGAAACGTGTTGATTAATAAATTCACCCTGAGCCTGAAATGAGCTTAATTAATCCCAAGCTAAAATAAACTAGAGATTAACAGCGTAAGCTGGTTTCCTTTTCAATCGCCTTAACTTAATAAATAAGGATTATGCTTGTGTACGCACATACACGAATGCCAAAAAGAGGCCCAACAGACGAGCGATTGTATGATTACATAAACAGTTCGGACACAATTATAGTATGGAGATAAACAGTTGTCAAAAGTTAAAAGTAATCAAGCCTATATTTTTGTCCTGGGCTATGTCTATCCATATTGAGTAAGTAATCATACAAAGAGGTCTAAAGGCAGGTAGAAGAATACATACCTACATAATCGGAAAGATATATTATTATTAGGTTTGGAAAATAGTCGTGGTACTTTAATGCTTACTATTTGGTACTTAATGTCAATCCAAGACATTTAGAAGTTGTCAAGAGTCTTCTAAATGTCAAGATTATGCTCCTTTTATGACATCCTTCTCTTTGTCTCAACTTTATGACCATGTCATTCACTTCCTGGGCCCATTAACTCTTCCCCCATCCACAAGAAGACAAAACCCATGGCAAGGAATCCATCTCCTCTTGCAAACCTCTCCCATGAACAAAACACTTTCTTCTCCACCTTGGAATTTATTTACCTGCCTCACATCCTACACTTTGAGCTTGTGTATCACTACGAATTTGAGTTTTACTATAAGCTTACATACATACATCCATTAAGAATATATGTCTCCATTAATATACTACCACTAATTTTAGGGAATCGTTTCCCTAACTTTCACCCCAGATACATGCACATGCAGGTATGTACGTACATACGTGCATACATTTACTTACATGCATGAATCCTACTCCTTGAACAAGAAAACTTTATGGAGAACGACTTTGGTAGTAAAAGGTTATAAACTCCGTTTTGTTACTCATGGTGTCATTCTGATTGCAAAGTTCTCTACCAATTTCAGTGCACTAGAAAAGTAAAACTTGAAAATTTAGAGAAATTTTTTGACAAATATAAATGTCTGCTTTCTATTTTACCTCGTATACATACTTACTTACATATATACCTACGGAAAGAGATATGCCGCTTATTATTTATTCCTCTATTTTCATTTAAAGTGATAAATGTCTGCTTTGAAGTGAACAATGTTCGTATAGTATGCAAACAATACGGTGCACAGAGTTGTACA